GGTGGAGAATAAGATGGCCAAAAAAACCCAAATGACTCTTAATCTACATGTACAAAGGCATTACATAAGCAGGGTGGAAGGGACCCTTTCTGTCTGCCACTGGTGAGGTCACCAGAATATCAAGGAAATTTAGAGAGCAGCCAGCAAAATACAAATGATGAAAGGTGTTGCTGAGGAAAGATATTATACAACTCTATATAAGTAAAAAGTATTCTATAGCTTAGTCCTGCTCCCATCCAGAGTCAGCCTATTGCTTTCTCTAAATATCTGGTGGATGTAAAACTCAACGAGGGAGCTGAATTGTTCGAGGTGGTAGAGTGAAATTAGGAATAAGATAAAGGAATACTAAATGTGTATGTCAGGGCAAGCTTCCTGAGTGTTACATGCTTTAGATTATGGCATTATGGGGCAGGGTGACTTGAATTGTGTATGGTTCAGAAATATCCTATTCTGGGTGGAAAGGTAGGGTAGAGAATTGGTTCAATGCAGGCTTTGGATGATTGTGTAATAATTATCATTAAAAAGTTCACTTTAGTGATCAGCATCTCATGGGAACACACAGATCACCATGTGAAATCAGTGGGATTTGGCAGATAATTTGTCTCTTATTTCCAAGGGAGTATTTATCGGAAGGTAACTTGAGGGCATAAAAAAAAGAAAAAGCAAGTTTTTGTAAATACTTCAGGGTACAGTAAGTAGCATTTAAAACCTGATCATGTGAATTCAGCAACCTAGTTCTCAGAGTACTGAAAACAAGATTTTTTTATTATTATTTATTAAAAAGGTGGCACATGGTACCATCTGTGTGCAAATAAAATATCTGTCTTACCCCTAGCTGATATCCACATAGAAATAATAGGCATCTGGGCCAGGGGGCTCAAAGGAGGAAGTAAAAAAATTGATTCTTGATACTCACTGTTCCCTTCTCAGTGTTTTATGACCTCTAGTCTAACCATAAGAACAAAACTAAAACGTGTCTTAACCAGTAATCAAAGCCATATTTATTGTTGAAAATACTGATCAGATGGTGTATTTTTCTTGTGTAGAATAGTTTATATGGTCTATGAACCATGAAAATCACACTTAGCCTTGTCAGTAGACCAGTCCCTTCCTTCCCTCGTCAACCAATGCGTCTGCTACGCTACAGGAACAAGTTGTCTAAAAAAATCAAATAGAAATGGGTAATAAAAATGAAAAGTGTGCTGGATCTCCAGGACCTATGGCAGGATTTTGTAGTGTCCCAGAGAAATTTGCCACTGTTTTGGAGCCTCTCTTGGGAGAGGATTAAACCCTTCTGGATGACTTTTATAATCTTAAAAGCTTTATTTTCAGTGTACAGCACTGATCTTTTTTTAATGAAGCTCAAAATCTTCATTCAATGCCAAATCTGATTTGTAGAAGTTTTTTTTTTTTTTTAAACTTCCTGTTTTTCAGGCGTAAACTCAAATGGGTGAATGCCACTTATCCTGCAGTGAAGGAATGAGTAGGCCCATGCTTTCTTCCAAAAAAGGCATTGTACTTTTCCAACTTTTGGTCCACTAACTTTTAAATCATGGCTGTATAAAAACCGCAGTACACCGCATAGGCTCTTTTGTAGCGTTTCTGGTCATTGGCCTGGATTTGTCCCCTGTGTCATGGTTGGCTGGCTTTTTCTGAAGTTTTACTTTCACTTTAAATTGAGACAGGAAGCATTTAACAATTCTTGGGTTGTGGTGTTTTTTTTTTTTTTTTTTTTTTTTTTTTTTTTTTTTTTTTTTTT